ATGATCTATATGATCTCCAGCGTTTCACTATAGACTACAATGTCATCCAAATAAACAACCACAAAGACGTCAATCTAATCATAAAACACATCATTCATTAGATTACAAAAAGTTATTGGGGCATTAGTGAGCCCAAACAACATTACAATGAATTCAAAAGAACCATAACACATCACACATGCAGTCTTTGACTCATCCTCTTCTGTAATTCTAACCTATCAATACCCAGTCCTAAGATCCAGCTTTGTGTAGAAAGTGGCCTTGGACAGTCTGTCAAATAGATCAGCAGCATTCAGAACATGGTACTTGTTCTTAATAGTCACCTTGTTCCACGATAGTCAATGCACATACGCAATGACCCATCTTGCTTCTTTTGGAATAGAACAGGGGCTCCGTATGGCGCCTTGGATGGCTTCATACTACAAAAATCTAGCAACTCGTTCAATTGCTTCCTCAATTTTGTCAATTCCACTGGCGACATTTGGTAAGGGGTACAGGCTGCAGGCTTTGTACCAGGCTCCAGTTCTATCTTGTGGTCAATCACACGTCTAGGTGGAAGGCTTTTGGGGAGTTCAGGGGGCATAACATCATCAAATTCGCCTAGTACATCTGTTACTACATCAGGTACTTCAACCAGCACATCTGGTTTGATCTCCACCAAGGCTGCGAGGTATGTCATCTCGCCCTTCTTCAACCCAGCATTTACTTGTATAGCAGATAGCATTCTCATCTTTCGCTTTCCATCTTTCTTGCTTTGGTCTACCAAAACTGTAGGCACAAAGCAGGGTGCTTTCTTATCTGTGATCAGCACTCTGTTCAGATGTGGCATCAGTGCCACTTTCGTTATAACAAAGAATTCATTTCGTAGGATGACATCAAAGTCATCTAAGGGCACAACCATCAAACTCACTTGGCCTTCCCACATACCCACCTTTAGATGTATTTCTGCTACACCACGTACTGTCATCGCTTCAGAATTTACTGCCTTGAGTTTGCTTGAATTCTCTGACAATTTCAGGCCAAACTTTCTCACCTCTCTCTAGGCAACGAAGTTATAAGTGGCTCCAATATTTACTATGGCCTGAACTTCCTTGTCATTCACCCATGCCTAAACAAACATGAGGCCTTTGTGAGGTTGCTGAACTTTACCCACAGTAATTGCGTTCAGCAGTTGGAGAGGGTTGACTTGGGTAGGACAATCATCATCACTGTCATTCCCACTCGTAGCAACAAGGGCACTTAAATTCTCCCTCTTGCGACAGTCTTTGACACGATAGGGACCGCTGCAGAGAAAACAGCCAAAATCAAAAGTTTTCTTCCTCTGGCTTGTTAAAGTCAACAACATTTTTTTTCTTCCAATTCGCTTTCTTTGCGTCTTTGAAAGTGCTAGCCTTATTTTTTCTGCTGCCACCATCTTTCTTTTTTTTTCTCAGGAGGGCCTTGGCTGCCGCCCATTTGGAAATCAACAAGGCCATCTGCTGCAGAAATGGCAGTGAGCAGATCACGTACCCCTGCCTCTGTAGTTCTGTTTGTGCCCAACCTTGCAGTCCGAACATAAAGTTGAAGAGTTTGTCTTCCTCTGACATGTTCTTGATGTCCAACATCAAAGAACTAAACTCCTTCAGGTAATCACAAATTGTTCCTGTATGTTTTAACTTTTTGAGTGAGTCCCTATCAATCCAGGTTGTATTGCTAGGGAGGAATTGATCCTTTAATTCATTTTTCAGGGTCTCCCATGTCTCGATCTTTGGACGATCAACAGAGGCATCATCCACATTTTGGGTCCTCCACCACAGCTTGACATCACTAGCTAAATACATACTGGTGATTGTCACTTTCTCTCCCTCAGGCACATGGGCTGCCTTAAAATACTGTTCCATGTCCCACAGGAAATTCTCGAGATCCTTGGTGCTTCGAGTGCCTTTGAAGGCCTTTGGATCAGAGACTTTAATCTTTGAAGATGTCTCGCCCATAATAGGTCGAGAATTCACGGCCTTCTTCACTAGGGACACTTCGTCTTCAAGATCCTTCAAATTCGTTTTGACAGCGTCTGTGAGAGACATGATATCCTCCATAATTGTTACAATCTTTGCATCAGTGTCAGTCACGTAACTATCAAAAGCAGTGTATAATCCCTTAATTTGAACAACGTGCTGCTCCATCTTTATAGCCACACTGGTTGCACCATCACTCTGAGGGGCGCCTAGAAAATCTTCGAGACGAGCAATACGTTCTCGTAATTCAGCAGCGTTTCCACCAACTATGGTTGCAAACCTGGCTCTGATACCAATTGTCACAGGGTTAATTTTCTCACTAAATTTATGCCTCGTGATGGCACTAAAATCCTACACTTAGTCTCAGTGAGACACTCAGAAATGTACACAAAATGCACATAGAACAAAGAAGAGACAGTAATCATACACACAGACAGAGTATACAAAATTTACAGGCAACAACCAAACTTTTCTTTCTTAATAAAGTATAAGGAACTCAGTCTTGGGTTTGTTTACAAAAATGTGTCAACTCTATTGTTGCACTATACACCCCAGACACCTTATTTATAATGTTCAGGGTGGCAGTTATAAGCCCAACCGCCTAGGCACATGACTACAATTCAAATCCTTCAGAAATTTGCTCTGCTTGAATGACAGAGTAAGTTATAACTGATGTCTGTAACTTTCCTGCAGGCCGTCTGAATCTGACAGAGATCCCACATGTTGTGCATTTGCTAGAAAACTGCACAGAATTGCAGAGCACATGCCCAACTTTCTCACATGTTATGCATGTGTCAGAAGCCCTCAACATCCGAATTGCATTACTTTCGTGCCTAACCATGGCCCAACCCATGACTCATTATTCAAGTTAACATCGCCCCACAATTTAAGTCACCCGCTTCCTTGCTTGCATGCTGACTTGTGCCGACGTGCTCATGTGTATAGACTGCCTCCCTCAGTCATGAGACTTCTGCCATTTTGGCTAAGGCATGGATGCCTTTGGGCGAGGTTATCCGATGCCAAATGCTGCCAATAGCTAAGGGGGTAACAGTTAGTGACTAGAGTTTTACATGATAAGAGATGTGGATTGAAAACTATTCCAAAATTAGGGATGTCACATTCCGGAAATGAACAATGGGACAACTACTCTGTTCTATGCGAAAAAATAGATAAAACTTCGTTTTTTATTCGTACAGAGTCAAAAAATAGTTCATTCACAACTTCTTGCATCGATATGCAAGAAAAAATTTCATGGAGTTCATATTTCAAAAGCAATTTTTTTTTTTGATTGATTGAGCTAAGGAACACTTAAGATCACATTTTTGGGTGCTGAAAAAACTATCATGAACTCATACGAATTTTATGACCTCAAGAAAATGGTGGCTCTATCCTCCAGTGGTCCAAGCTATTGCTGTCTAAGCAGCTTCATCTGGTGAATATTTGCAAAAACAGACTTACAATTTGCAGAGAGAAACGGTGGTACTTTTTCAATTTTAATGGTAGACATGACAACCCTTTATTAGTACATGGGTGGTGGTTAATTATTTGTGGCTTCTTTCCCTGAGTCACGAGGTACCCAGAAAAATTTCTTATCGTTTTATGCTCTAAAGGCCCATGCCCTTGTTTGTTCTCTCTCACTCTCTCTCTCTCTCTCTCACACACACACAAACACACATCTCAATGAAATTAGATGCTAACAGAAGTTAATAAGTTTTCTATTATTGTATGATCTTCCTATTACAAGTGTTTTTTGTCTTGTCCGTTTTCCTGAGGATTGGGCTTTAACTTGGAGCATGAGACCATGTTTTGGCCACCGCCAAAGATCACAGGTTGTGTTAAAACGTTGATTTGAATATATGAAGCTGTATAGAGGAGAGAGTCAAATGGGCATAGTTTTCTCTTTTATATATGGAGAAATTGGTGTCCGACTCAAGAGATTGAACTTTGGGATTATTAGCATTTTTGCTCCTGTAAGTTTGTAACTAGTTACACTCTCACCCTTTAAAACTAGATGGGAATTACATACAAATTGTATTCTCATCTTAGCAAAAACCTCTTGCACATATTAAGAATTAAAAAACACCATTCAGTATACAAGACCATTGCTAATGTGAAATCTTGGAAGGGTAACATGAATAAATTGATTGAGTGTCAATTAAACCTCAGTGATAGCAAATCTAGTGAACAAGATTGTCACTATGGATCATTAAATTACTGAATCTTATTAACTTTATTAAATTTTTAAAGATTAAGATTATGCCACACCAAATAATATAAGTGAGAGTGTAAAAAGGTGGTGTTTATGTTTTTATTGATCTTGGATTGATTCATTAAACAAAATCTTTCAGACCTGTGATTTCTTTAAACCTTTCAGATCAAATGAGGTGACTTACTTGTCTCAGTCCATTTGAATTCAATTCAGTGTGGTCATTTCTTAATTGTTCAGTCTGTACCTTGACAGTTACTGTCATTTATTAGTGCCATTGAACCGGATTTCTATGGGGCTGGTTGTCATGTTCCCCGCGAAACAAAGATTCTATCTCTTTTAACAGGTTCTCTTGACTTCTGGCACTAAGCCCTCCACCCTCCCCCCCCCCCTCTTCCCCTTCTCTCTCTCTCTGTCTCTGTCTCTCTCTCTCTCTCTGTGATGGACACCCTTTTAAGGGAAAATCTCCAAAATGCAAAAAGTTTGATTGTGGGGTTGTCATCAAATTGACCACATTGGTTTGGTTTGTTAGAAGCAAAAATTAGATCTTTAATGGTGTTTTTTGAAGATTGCTTGATTGGAGTTCGTTTCTTTTCTGATTGATTTGTTGTTGACAGTGGACTAGGATATAAAGTTTTGCTTTTGTTGGATATTTAGCAACTTCTTCACCTTCATGGTGATAAAGAAGGAAAAATTGCTATGTTAAAGAGCATATTTTTGAAGAAAGTTTGAGCATTGGAGAGAGAGTTGCTTTAAAGGGTTGGAAACTTTGAAGCCTGTGGGGAGTGAGAGGGGAAGAAATGCCTACAGTTTGGTTTTCTTTGAAAAGATCTTTGCATTGCAAATCAGAGCCATCAGATGTTCACGATCCAAAGGCCAGGAAACACTTGAGCACAATCTTGACAAGAAAAGCAGGCAGGTCTGGTTGTTCAAGGTCTATTGCAAATCTTAAAGATGTCATTCATGGAAGCAAGAGACACTTAGAAAGGCCTCCAAGTTGTAGTCCAAGATCTATAGGGAGCAGTGAATTCCTCAACCCCATAACCCATGAAGTGATTCTGAGTAACTCAAGGTGTGAGCTCAAAATCACTGGCTTCGGTGGGTTCCATGAAGGTGGTGTAGTGGAGATGGTGGTGGTGGCGGCTCAACATTTTTGGGTACTTTGAGGCCTGGTACACCAGGTCCTGGAGGACATCCTACAATGCACTACTTTAATCCTTCATTTCGAAACTCAACTCCTTCAAGAAAAACTTCTTCTCTTTTGACAGATAGGGAAGGCTCTGGGTTTGGGGGTTCTGCTATTTCTGGGGGTTTTAATGACATTTCTACAAAACCAAGGGCTTCTATTGAGACAGATACTAATGGGTATTCTGCAGTCACCTGTCACAAGTGCGGAGAGCAGTTTGGGAAGTGGGAAGCTCTTGAAGCTCATCATCTCTCCAAGCATGCTAGTAAGAAGCCTCACAATCCTTTTCATTCTTCATATTTTTCCCAGCTTGGTTTTTTGTTACTTTGAATCTGAATATGGTTGCCCTGTTATTCCAAAGAAAGGAAGAGGAGGGAGGAGGGGGGCTTCCTCTTTTTTCTATTTAGCCTAGACTTTTGAGTTCACACTGTTAACTACTGAGTTTTTGAATTGATTTTAGCATTTTGAGCTCCAAATTCTTTGTGGGACACTGCCCTCCAACTACTCAAATGATTGGAAGTAGGCTACATCTTAACTGAATTTTTTGCATTTTGAATCATTATCTGAAGTTTCTCCAAGAAATGCCATTTTCTTTTTCTAGAAGAACTAAAGATACCAAAAATATTACAGACAGCTGAACTGATTGCCCTTCTTTATCTCCTGCTATGTAGAATCCTAGTTCTTCATTCTGCTTGCAGTTCTTCTTACCTGAATAATTTTTTCTTAAATTTATTTTAGCTCACTCTCTGGTAGACCCCCACTTCCTTTTCTTGTAGAATCAAAACCTCAAAGTTCTCATTGTTCTTCCTTCGACATGACAGTTGATGGCTTACTCAATTACGATAAAGCATCTGTAATTTGATATTTCTTACTGACCTTTAGGGGGCTAACGATTTGGCTTTGATGGGTTCATTTGGCTTAGTATAAGTCTTTGTTGGTTTGAAATGTAGTTGATTTTCGCAGGAGCTAACTATATGCTCTAATGAACAGTTACTGAACTTGTGGAGGGCGACTCGTCTAGGAAAATTGTTGAGATAATATGCCGGTCAAGCTGGCTAAAGTCTGAGAGTCATTGTGGTCGAATTGAGAGGGTTTTCAAAGTCCACAACATGCAAAAAACTCTTGCCCGATTTGAAGAATATAGGGAAATGGTGAAGATCAAAGCCAGCAAACTCGCCAAGAAACACTCTCGCTGCCTCGCAGACGGGAACGAACTTCTGAGGTTCTACGGCACAACTGTGGCGTGCTCTCTTGGTATGAATGGATGCTCCAGTCTATGTGTATCCGACAAATGCTGCGTTTGTCGAATTATCAGAAATGGGTTTTCCACAAGGAAGGAACTTAAGGGTGGCATAGGTGTTTTCACAACTTCCACAAGTGGAAGAGCTTTTGAATCTATAGAAATACATGAAGATGATCCATCCATTAGAAAAGCTCTAATAGTCTGCAGAGTTATAGCAGGGAGGGTCCATAGGCCTCTGGAGAACATACAAGAAATGGCCGGCCAGACAGGGTTCGATTCATTGGCTGGGAAAGTTGGTCTGCATTCAAATGTTGAGGAGCTTTATCTGCTCAATCCCAGAGCTCTGCTTCCCTGCTTTGTGGTAATCTGCAAATCCTAAGAAAACAATCCAAAAATGCTTAAATTGGTATGGAGAAGATTTTGTTTCTGATAAAAGGCCTTTTCTTAATTTTTTGAAGGAGTTTTGATACTTCTAGTCACTTGCCCATAGATCAAAATTTGTGCTTGTATCTGCCGTTCCAAAAGTTTGCATCTGTCTCTGTCATGGTGTGTAATGTGTTTCTTCCTATCTTATGACATGTCTAGTTTATGCCATCTTCTTACAATGAATTGTACATACCTTTTTTTGGCTGGTAGATACTGTATATTCTTCCTGAATTATAGTTGCTCATATGTCAAAATGATAACTAATCAGGATTTGAGAGATTAAGAATGAATAATATCATCAGAAAGCTGGGAAACCATTTGGAGTGAAACATCCAAAAGATAACGAGTTCGATAGAAATCTGTGTTTTTCCATGAATGTAAAGCATTTTCCGGGGGAAGAAGAATTTTTTCTTTTTTTTGGGTAAGTAAGAAGAATTTGTTCTTACTGGTGCATTATTGAGAAATAAATCAGAAATTTGAGGAATGATTGAGTTCTAATTTGTGATAGTGTTCTTATTTGATGGTCATTATGGTACCATGTGCTCTGAAATTAGGTTGCCCAAGTAATGGTTACCCCCTTTTTGGACAATCTAGAGGATTTGCAACTTGGTCAACATGGATTTGCATTTAACCCTGAGTTTGAGGTTTCACTTCAATTTTAACCACTCTTGGAGATAGAACCCCAAAGCTCCCGTCACTGCGGTACTTGATGAGGGCCATCATTGGCACACCATTTTAACCTTTCTTGGAGATGCAAGTGATAATGATAGCTGGAGTACTGGTAGCCATCCTCTTAAGATCTCTGAAGTCCTCTAAAGCAAACAACTTAAATCTTATTCACTAAAAAAAGCAGGACAAATCAGAACTACCTGGGTGTATTAGCTTTTGGGCTGCTGCCCTAGAAGAGAGTAACAGCATATTTACAGGATCCATGTGATATATAGAGAGTAGGATCATGACAGTTCTAAGATAACAGCACTTAGACAAGCATATTTGGATTTTGTTGGATGTGTACTTACAACTTGAGGAATAGGTGCAGCCAGCAGCTTCATTTAAAGGTGAAAATGGCATGTGGTCCTAGTTGGATGCTTATGTTTCAACAAAGGATAGTCCAAAACTAAGGGACAAGAATAACAAAAGATTACCTGTCACATGCCTCCTGTCAAAATTTTCTTTTGTTTCTTCCATTTGAATTTGTTCTTGAAATTCTATTCTGCTCTTCAATTGCCAGGCTTTCTGTGCCATGGAAGCTTGTTCATCCTCTTGGACCCCTTGCCCTTGGTACATGAACAACTAGGGTTTACCAGTTTTTTGACCATTTTACTCTCTTTTTTCAATCTTATTTCATTCCTTAATTTAGCATTATTTTTATAAAAACGTGATTTGAATTGACGTTTTTCAATGTAAAAGCATATTTACAAAACACCCTTTTAATAGAAATTCTAAAAGCTAATAATGCTTTTAGATAAACAATGGGAGATAAGTTAGTAAAATACAGTAGATATGAAATAAATTTGGAAAAAGACAGTCAGATGGTAGTTGATTTACCATATTGAATTTCGAAAATGGGAACTTCTAGAAGTTCTTTTGAGGGTTCTTACAAGCATCTACCTCTATTGTTAATCATCTCTATCGCTTTTAATGCTCTGTTTCAAGCCAATTCATAGGCATATCAAACCTTCATAACTCTTCTGTATCTAGAAAAATTAGTAGCCTACAAATGCTATTCTTAAATGTCTGAAAGGGAGTAGATTCGAGCAGATAAACACAAAAGAAGATATTCTGTGCAGTTGGTATTGACTGCTGATCTAGACTTGTCATCTGGTGAGACTGAGCGAAAATGATTATAAGGTGGGTAAGAGTTGTTTTGGATCGATCCCAACATTTAAAACCTACATATTTTCGGGGTCGGTTTTTTTTTTTTGGTCACATTTAGTTTTAAATTGACCCAAAAAAGCTGTTTAAAGACCACCAAAAGAATGAAATGCAATGAATTTTGACATAGCAGTGAAAATAGGCATATGGTTTAATTGATGCAGCTTCTGAATTAGAGCAGCCCCTGCATTTGAAGCTAGAGTAAGCTCTCCAAAAACCTTTTCCTTGCAAATGATTTGTGAGGAAATTCATCTCCTAACAGTTCATATGATTATTCATTCAAGGTGACTTGAGATAATAAGTTTAGTCCCGGGACTAATGCGTTTGAGTCTTGCTCTGCCATCGATCACGCTACCGTTCTGTTGTCAATTGGTCCACACCATGTGAGAGTTGTTATTTGCTATTAACTGTGATAAGTGGATGAGAGAAAACCCCTTGCCAACAAACACCATCACAATTCAAGTCATTAAGGTATTTTCCTATTACTATCAGCTGACAGAGACATCAAAACTGCTATACTTCTGACTGTTCTGATGAATCAATTACAGAACTTAAAGTATAGCTTGTGTCTAACAATGCAACATGGTCTTTTTTTTTTTTTTTTTTTTTTGGGGGGGGGGGGAGGGGGGATTAGGGTATTGGGGGAGGAGAAAGGACATTGACGAAAAGAATGATTTTTCACTTCCTATAGTTGAGAAGAAAAATGAGTAGCTTTGAAACTTAACTTATTATTAGAGAAAACAAGCAAGAAAATGAAAGGGTGCTAGTTGCAATCAAACTAAAGCACCAACGAGCAAAGACTTTCGCGCAAATTGCTTAATCTGTTGTTTCTTGCTTTCGAGCCCAAGCCTATTATTGCTTAGTAAGCTTGAGGCATTAATCTCTCCTCCTTCCCGTGGAGATCATAGGAAAACAGGAAGGAATTCAAAGTGGAAGGAAGTAGCAATAGTCGAAGTCAAAGTGGAAGGAATTCGAGTATTATACTAACTTTCACATTCTTTCATGAGCTCGCAAAAGATATAAAAAATACACCTTCATAATAAAATTTCAGAAGCAATTTGGATCTTCCATCTTTTTCTCCTTCCTGTGGAGATCATATGAAAACTGTCATACATAATTGTTTCACTCTCTCTGCCTATACATAGTAGCTGTTACTTTCAGATGGGAGATAGAAAGCCATAATCTAAGCAAGAAGTAATAGTATGATGAATTATATCTTGTACGGCGTACTTGTAAACAAATCCCAAATCGCTTAACTTTTTTGAAGAAATCATGGAAGGGACTGAATCATGTTCTTTCTTGATATGCCTGCGACGTGCAGAAGAATCAGAATCTGCAACGATAATAAGCTGACTAATTGTACTTCAGATTTTCAACTAAAGTGCTACCTTTGTAAGTTAGAGCAAGGATACTCTTTAGCAAGATGATCAACCAATTCAGACATAACACAACTCTTGGTGCAGCATATATATTGACCTTCTGCTCTAGCATGCTCCATAAGGAATATGTGGGCATTGCATATGTCTTGTATGTGAACCAAAGCAATAGACCCCATTCTTTCATTTACTGCAGATAGTATTGGGAACAATTCTGGGTCGCCTGTAACAGTGAAATTAACATGCGGTAGCATAACTTTCATCGTTTTCTTATGCCTAAATCCACAGGATACATGCATTTGATAATTCAGTAAAAAGCAGGGGAAAGCTAGAACACGACTGAGTTGCAAATTTTAGACAATATTTTCCAAAGAACTTTGGAAAGAATCAAATGTACATAACTTATGCCCTTTTGAAGCTCAATGAAATGTCTTATATACTAACACATTATTTGTTTCATGAAAACCAGAATTCCTTGTCAAAACAATTGAATTTTGATGCATCGTGTGTAGCACTGTTTGTTCATGATTGAGTACAGATGATGGTATAATCACCTGTTATGGGTGACAAGAGAACTTGAATGCTTGACGGAACAGTTGAAGTGAGGAATGGGCCAGCAACGGTGGTTGTTATAACCGACACCATATCAATATTGTTCTCCCTTGCAAATTGGAATGCTGCCTCCTCTGTTAGAAGCTTTGAGAGTACATATACCTGTGGAAGATAATATAGATTTCCAGTCTAATTCAACCAAGTACTGAACACATCTATTTGTGGCAACGCAAGTGAGGAAAAGAACGCATTACCCATCCACTTGCTTTAGCATTCCATACATGATTAACGGGACTCTGGCAAGATTCATCAACTACAGTTCTCCATTTTCCAGTGCTGTCTTTGGCGGTCATAGTACTGATGGATGAAGTGAAGACAATCCTCTTCACAGAGTTAGATTTCAAGCAAGCTTTGAGAACGTTTAGCGTTCCTTTGATTGCGGGCTCTATGATATTTGTTTGAGCATAATTGTCTTCAAGTTCACACAAAATACGAAAATTTAGTTTAAAATTGCCATTGCTAAGTCAAAACTGTGAAGCATTTTTGTTTAGTGAGCTAGTATAGCTAGTTTAGAACATCAAAAATGTGCAAACATGCATTACCAACAGTCTGTTTCACAGGAACTCCTAATTGCATCGAAGCTGCAACATGAAACACGCCATAGCAGCCTTTTACAGCCTCATCGAAGCTTCCTTCCTCTTCTAAATCAGCTCTGAACAATCTCAACCGGTCACCACCTCCCCACGATGTTAATAAACCCAATGACTTCTCTGAGAAGATTAATCATCAGTTGGCATTACAGATTACTCAAGTATAAAGAAAAGTTCCTCTCTGTGTATGTGCAGTTTTTGAATTGCATAGAATTAAGTATCAATTTCAATTTCAATTGGTGATAAACAAATTTATGACGAACTTTGTTGGTAAATATAAACTAACCACTGTAATATATATTTGAAATAACACTGATATCAATATGGTGATTAAACTGTGCCATTTAAAGGCTAAAACACTGACATTTACGAATGATGCATTCCATTGGTCTATATGGAATCCTTTTTTCGTCGCTCTTTTTCTTTGTTAATTCTTTTATCTTTTAGTTGAATACACATCGAACTTAATGCTGAGAAGGTTCTGATTTCACTCTGCTTTGCGTTCCCCTACGACTATGTTTTACGACAAGATGTTACACTGGTATCGCAAACATAAGCGCTATTCATACTGTCCAATCCTAAACTTGAACTTGAAAATTATCCTAAAAGTACATGTTTAATACACCCTAAAAGGATTATGGCAAGTTTATGTTAGAAAGTAGCAATTTTAATCAACTTACCAGTATACTAACATTAAAACATAAATCTATACAATCATTACCAATATCAATCAAATGTGATACTGTCAAATGCAATCCAAAAAATAATACGACTTTGGAGGGTTGGGGGGTGTTTATGGAATCTACCCAGTACAAATTCCCTCTTTTTCCTCTCTCTCTCTCTCTCTCTCTCTATATATATATATATATATATGTGCACATATTATGCACCAAGTAAGGGAAGGAAAGAAGGTGATACAGACCAGGATCACGGACTGTGGCGTGTACCCTATAGCCTTTTTGAAGGAGAGACTTGGCCAGCCATGACCCAATGTAACCTGTTGCTCCTGTCACACAGTAGGTGATCAGGCTATCATCCTCTTTTCCACTGCCTTCGTCCACCGCTTTGCTATTTTCCATATTCACTGCTTGCTGCCAAACCAAACACAGCCTTATGAGACGCCTTATGGTCAACGACAACAATGAGAGGCAAAGGTGACCAAATCTCGAGTTATACAGAATCTCAAGTATTCTATGTGCGTACAGCTAATGACAATTTTAATAACACTAATTTGTAGGGTACACAAATAATTTTTTTTTTAAAAATAATTTGATAAAATAATAGATGGTAATCATTCATCATTAAAAATACATAATATTTTATAAATTTAAATCACCCCATATTAAAATTAATGATTAACCTAATAACCACTATCCTGTTATTTAAATTTCAGAATTTATTTTTTTTCTCACCTCTTTTCACGTAATGTTAATGTCTGAAAAAAAACCCAGCAAAAAAATTCCTGGGCAATGATGTCTCTGGGTCGGTGACGATTTCAATGCAGTGTACTTTCGAGGAGAAAAAAGTTGGTGTGTCACATCACAGATTGCCCAGGACAGCCACTAAGATTCATCAGACGGTTGAGAAAGCTGCTGGAGGATTTCTAACTTCGTTGACCTTTTTGTATGGGACCCATTTCAAGTGTCGTGCTCCGAAACTCTACCCCTCCCTGGGTGGAGCCATTTTTGCACCATCCTGAGAGCCTGACGTAAGATCCCCATTGGACCTGAAACAAGGGCCAATATCCTGGATACTCATTGGGACATGGGCTGGTCCGGCCCATAGTTGTGAACCATATAAAGCTGAGTTGCCATGTCAACCAGCGGGCCACGAAAATTAAGAAAATGATAAATTGATTTTGAAACTTCTATTTATTTATGAAAATGCCATTCAGAAAATTTACAAAAAAAAAAAAAAAAAATCTTAAATGTTTCATTAAATTCTCCAAAAAAGAAAACTAAACCCTCAACCATTATTTCTTCATTTCAACCGATGCAAGCCACATTTCACATTCCAATTTTCGATGTTTGTACGTTGAAAAATTATTTCATAGAGTCGGTGAGATTAGTAGATTGCTAAAAAGCCCACAAGTGCTGGTCCACTGGACAGACCATAGCAAGTTCTTAACATGCCTTCGTTCCTAACTTTTCCCACAAAGAATTAACACGAGGAACAAATAGATCTTTAAGCCACTAGCACCAACCACCAGTATCCTTTACCTCATGGAGCCCCTCCTCTCTACCATTATTCTTCAAGCTGACTACTGTGTGGAAGTTGGACCAATCAGAGATCACTTTGTAGAATTGAGTAGCAGGATTTTCCAAGAAAATCAGCAAGGTTTTGTTAGTGTGGATTGCTGAATTTGTAGTCAGCAAATCGCCAAAATTGAGAAATGGAATTGTAAATTCGGTTGGTTTACTAACTTCCAACCATTCTTGTCAAAGAAGTTTACTAGTCTTTGCATTTTGGTCGTAGGGATGTGCAAGAATCAGATCCTTATGGCCTTGTTTGACCTTATCTCCTATAATCTCCACTGGATTGCCCTGTTGGTGGGTTTGGTTGATGGCCAAGGGGGACCCATTATAAAGTTTATAGCCCCCACCAGATCGCGTGGGACCAACACTAAATCGACGTGGACTGTTGGATTGGAAAAAATATTTAATGCAACAGCGATACAATGTTACTATTGTTGCATGATATCACAAATTAATAATATATAAATAAATAAAGAAATGAACCACATACAAACTAATAACTATCGGTCTATATAACTCTTTTTCCATGTAAGTTAATAACTATCAGCTGAGGTTAATCTTACTCGTTTAATATTTTATTATTAATTAGTAAAATTATATAATAATAATACTAATATGGTGTTATCGAAATATTGAATATTTACTTATTAGATTGGGGACGGCAAAATTTAAATTCACAATATTAAAAAAATTAATAATAAAAATAATAATTATTAAGTCAACCGCTAATCTCGCTGATGTTGATATTTGATGAAGTAAGAAATGAGAAACACTTATCCTATCGCTGTCTTTTCCCATTTCTCCTTTCCCACATGGCTTCTTCCCTTTTCTTCTTTATAGATTTTCATGAAACAATTTAAGAATTTGATCTGCCACTTTTGTTTGTTTCGCCGACCAACAAAAAAAAAAAAAGGGGTTTAATCCTTATTCATGCATGTGTTTTAAACTTTTAATCCATAACTTCGAAATTTATACCAAATTATTTATAATTGTTAGATCAATGGATTCGATCATTAATCTAACGATTGTAATTGTTTTAGTGTAAATTTTAGTGTACAAATTTAGTACATAAACAATTACTCAATTTTGATTTGACTCACAATGTATATACCGACAAAGAAAAAAAAATAGTAGTCTTAATTCAAATCCTTGTGTAATCACGAGTCCAACGACTATATCGAAACATTATTTCTATTAGTAAGCATGCTTACATAAATTTTCAAACGCAGATTCCAAAATGTGGACCAAAGATGATGAAAATAAAGAAATTTGTTACATCAATTTTAAAACTTAAAATCGTTAATCACGTGAACGTGGGTCATAATAATAATATTCGATAGTACTGTCAACTGTGTGTTCTTAGTCCACATACCTTTTTCAAAGTTGTTGCAGTTCTGTCAATTTTGGTATAAAGATTTCCTAAATAAAAAAATGTAAATCGTGACTTTTATAATTCTTTTGAGAACATGTTGTTTAAACTGTCTGTGGTTTTATGTTTATCTCCATCACTAGTGCATACTATTTTATTGTTGTTTTCCCTCGATCTGAATCATTGAGGAATGCAGAAGCTTCAGTTTACACACTCCTTTACTCATGTGCGGCCAAACATATTTTGGGGACTAAATCAGAAACAATAAATTAGATTTTATTTATTTATTTTTAAATCTTTTGTTCAAACTCTTTTGTTATCATAGTTGAACTTGATGGAAACAGAGAGGGAGGGTGGGGGGAAGGAAGAAAGATTGAAAAATTATGGTGGTAAATTTAATTTAATTTTTTTTTGGGTTAAGACTTGATTTTTAGTAACTTTAATTTTACTATTAAATTTTTTTTTTTCAAAAAATTGAATTTTAAGACCTCTTAATTTTATGAGTTAAATTAATAAGTCTAATTCACTCAAGTTAAAATCTTTTGTTTGGCTTGAAAACTAAATTTCTGAGTCAGAAAATTATGTAATGATGGCAAAATGGGTAATGAAAATTAATAACTAACTAATCCCTTAACATTCCCACCAACAACATGCAAGTTTTTTTAAAAATTGAAAGACCTTTTTTTATACTAAAAATTTGGTAGGACTTAAATTAGTTTACATACCAAATGAGGGACCCTTGCCTAATTAATTATATAATAAAACACTTAACAACTTGAATTTTTATCTCCTATATATTTTTCTCTCAAAAACATAACATTACCTATTTCTATCGTATATTCAATTATTTAATATTTGATTAATTTATAATTTACAAACATTTTCATACACGATCGTGTATAGATGTTGAAATTTTTTTGTTAAATTACGTATTTTGAAAAAAGATTGTCGATATTTTTAAAAAAATAATGGATAAAAATTAATTTTAAATGATGTAATCAAAGAAAGTAAAAAAAATATTATTTAATATAATCAAATCAATTTTTGGTTCTTGTCACTATTCTTGAAATGGGCAACCAAGTCCTCTCTCAGTTTATTACACATTGTTATAATCATTATGAAGATGCATCTTGTGACCTGAAAACCAAAATATTCACCAAAGACCTCTCTCTCTCTCTCTATTTATTACATAATGTATTTAATCAGATAAAATTTATAAACGATAAGCATTTCTTTAGACCAAAATTAAGTAATTTATAAATCGAAAGTAAATAATGTCTTTAAAAAGAAAAGCATGCTAGCTAAGAATTGTTGGATCGAAATAAGATATTCTCTATCTGTCCACCTGAAAGTTAGATATTTGATATTCACGATGATTAAGTGTTAGAACACTCGTTATACACGATTTGAGAGTTAAAAACTTATTAAACACGATATTAAATACATTTAAAAGTGATTCACAAACAAATAAAACTCTTCTTGTTGTCAATTAAAACGAATGTAGATGTGAAAAGTTCAAAACAAGATGTTCACCTTCTCTCGTATCATCCATCCATACTTTATGGGAAAGTGACTGTCATTATCACACCAGTGGGCTTAGGTGCTCCTACACTTGCACAACAGGAAAAGCCAGAGAATCGGATTACATTCTTCACATAAAAGTTATTTTGTTATCTTTTTAGATGTGAATCAACTGTAGAAAAGTTTCGTCTTCTTCCTGGGTTCATGCAATATAGCTCAATCCTGTCAATATCTTCTGTTACTAATCATTTTTTTACCAGATTACGTCAGATCTATCACATCCACCACACCCATGGTCTTCTAACTAATGATAAAGAGAGAAATAAATCATTCTCTCTCTTTTTCTTTTTTTTTTAAGAATAAAAGTTTGTGCTTAAATTATCATGATTTTCAAAAATTATTGTCTCCCAACCACGATTCTTAATAGATTTTCTAAATTATTGTAAGAATTAGGAATATGTGCTTTTTTTCTTGTTTAAAAGCGTGTCATAAAATGTGTTATATTTATAATGACGAGTTTAAACTAGATTTTTATAAAAAATATAGATGAGAGCGAAAGTTTACCTAAGCCTACATAATTACATATTATTATCTTTTCACTTAAGCAAGCGTGACAAGTGCCTTTCAAGATGGTCATCATTTTATCAAGAGAAATGCCTTCAACCTTTTTAATTTAACAAATAATTACAATAGTGTTTACATCACTAAAAATCGTTTAATATGTTTAACTTGACACTAATTTCACCTCTAAAATTCCCTGTATTAGTAAACATATGACTTGAAGATAATATCATTATACTTAGGATTTATCTATTATAAATATTTTAATCTCGACATGAATGACTTGTCTTTGATCGGATCAGAAAGGGAATTAGACGAGATACACGTAAGTTGACTTGAGCACCTCTGATTGTCGAGCCAAAAAAAAACATAG